TAATATAGTATCAAACGGCTCAATTCAATCTCTCTAAACGTGTAGCCCTTTAAGAATGGTAAGCTGACAATCTGGTAAACGTCCATTTACAATTACGCATTTACCCAAAGCGACTTAAAATCAAACCCAAGCGCCATACTCTACTAGGTGGGTTGATCGAGTGCATGCTGTGCAATAGGAACATACAAAAGAAGAGTCCATTTCTACTAAAAGCCATATGTAACCAATCAGTGTGTCAAGATATACAAGATGCTCAAGATATAATTGTAATTGGTTAAGGTGATACTGTGCTACCAAATGTACACTATTATTATTGATGTATACTAACTATAAATGTTCCTGCTAGCAGAATGCGCCAAACTAATCGACTCCGGTCATCCTATAATGTCTTCACTAAATGTCATGGATGTGTCACTGCAAAGAACTGATGCTATACATTCCAGTGAGAAAAGGAAAAAGAAAAAAAAAAACTGTACTTAAGAGTCTGTATCGAGTAAAATATTGTGGTATGAAAAGTCAGTTTAAATGCAGCTATTTTCAACTTTTGTGCATTGACTAACATGCATGTGAAGTAAATGTGCTTCTGATGCTAAGATTGTACTGCAGATTATTATATTTATTTATTGAAGTGTCATGTTTGTACCTATACACAGTACCTTTGACAATCAAAATACTTTCCAGTTGTCATGACTGAAATGTTTGGCTGTTTAGTTTTAATTTTTGTGGTTTGATTTTAAATCCATTTATTTGTTAGAAAAATTAAGTCTTAAATTTAACTTACCATCTTTACCATCCTTTAAACATTTCTTGATCGTTTTTTTTGTTGTTGTTATTTAGTAAATGTATTAGTTTACATTTATTGGAATGTAGTAATGTTTTTTTTTTATTTAAAATTGTTTGACTTTTGAAAAGGACTAGACATGAGATATTAGTCTCAATATTTAAATGCGTGACAAATATCTATTAATTTGATAATTGTTGCGAATGTATCTTACTCTTCACTAGTAGTCGTTTATGTGTCTGTGCAAAGTAAACTCTTCACAAGAAAAAAAAAAAAGGCTGCATAATCAGAGTGCAGCTGTATCAATGCACCTAAGGTATGAACATCCAGTAAATCCAATTTAATTCTACCCTATATTTTATTAAGAGCATTTCTAGCTATAAATTCACCTGTTAAATTATCAATAAGACATGCTAAAATAAACATCCCTATGCAATCTCCCTCTTAAGGCAAAGAGAGTCTTACCTAGATGTAAGGAATGTTTATTATCCAAAAACCAAGTGGACACCTCTTGTAACTGACCAGACTTTCTATCCTCAAGGATGCCTTTGCTTTGATGAGACACTAAAATTGCTGCATCATCTGCATAAAGGGTTCCTCAGAACTTGCTAATTTAAGTTCATTCATATATTTAAAAAAAAATATTGGTCTTAAAACGCTCCCTTGAGGAACACCACAGGTAACAAGCTAGACAATATACCTTTAACATCTACTCTCTGACTTCTATTTTCAAGATAGGACTGTATCCACCTAATAGCCTTTTCACTGCAACCTATTGCCTTTAATTTATACAAAAAAATGGAATGATCTACAGTATCAAAGACCTTCTGAAGATCATAACAATTCCACATAATTTACCACTATCAACCACCTCTTTTATCCTATCAGGTCATATATAGCATACATGTCTCAGTGTAAGTCTAAAACCTGAACGTGAACATCATGCAAAATGCTATCTGGTCATAAACAATTTTTTGCATTATCTTTGACAACACGCGTTGGGACAGAAATGGGTGTGTAATTAACAATATTCACTTTACTGCCCACTCTGGCACTCTTTAATTCATTAGGGATTTTTCCTTGTTCAATCGATAAATGTATTATATGTGATAAAAAAAAGGTGCAATAGCTTTATAGCAGTCTCCAAAAGTTTTGCAGGAATATTATCAATGCCAGGCACTTATTTTAAGCTCACTAATATATTTAAAAACTTCACTTTCACATACTGTGCTTAACTTAAAAGACACTTGAACAATTCCACACTGAGAATAAAATGGTTGCACTTGCTTTTCATTATAAATATCAGGTTGCCCTGGAAGCTGATTATATAATTAACTGGCCACCGATATAAACATTTTCTAGCTTTTCTAGCTTAGATCTTTTGTCTTGTTTCCAGCCAAATTATCTAAAAACTCTTAAATCAAGAAGCATTTTCTAGACAGGTAAACAATTATTGTCTCGTTTTCAGAAAAACAAGTCGAATTTAAGTGAGTTTTTGCTTGAAACAAGCAAAATAATCTGACAATGGGGTAAGCAAAATAATTTTATTTCAAACAGAAAACAAGATTATTTTTTTAAGATTATAATTATCATCATTTTCTCTTTTTACTCCTGCAATTCAATTGCTTGTTTATCTAATGTCTGGATAAACTAGGTGTCTTGGTGTTTATGTGTGTGTGTGTGTGTGTGTGAGTGTGTGTGTGTGTGTGTGTGTGTGTGTGTGTGTGTGTGTGTGTGTGTGTGTGTGTGTGTGTGTATTGTAAATAGGTTTCACTTACAGCCTGCAGAGCTCCATTAGGTGCTGATAGTTCTCTAATCGTGAGCTTTGGACATTCGATGTGGCTCATGTTGGAGTCAGCACAGTGGTTTACATCGTTTGAGGAGGTGGACTCTAAATGTGCAGGAGAGTGGGACTTGTTTTGTGGGCTTCTGGAATGTTCTGTTTCTTCTTCATTTCTTTTTTTGGAGGGGATGCAGGCTTATTTGCTTTTTTTTCTCAGTAAGGTTTAGAGTATTATAATAAATGACTGACACTATTGGTTGCTCGGGTAACCACCAGGAGCTCTTCCATCAGATTTACAGAACGTTATCTGTAATCCGGTCAAGAGATCAAGGATATTTTTCACCTAAACCTAAACACTACATAGTTCTGTATTTAAAACCTCCACTGGAGCCCAAAGCCAAATCCAGAGCTCCAGATGTAGGAGGAATGTGTACGTGTGTGTATATATAGACTCTCACACCAGTCCTAGAATTACACACATCAGAGAGTTGTCCCTTCACCCACAATGCACCAGTGCCGGCTGTTACTGCCTCTCAGGCAGGCTCCAGAGCAAGGCCAAAATGTGCAAAATAAAGAGTTTAAATGTTTATGTGTCTGTGCAAAGTAAACTCTTCACAAGACAATTTTGTGTTTGAATTGGAACATCTTTGGTTATTGGCAAAAATGATGATACAGATACATAACTATTCGCAAATGTGCCTCAATGTACAAATCATTGCACATTCATTTAATTCTGAGCTTCACAGACACAAGCTGCAATGTATTGGTTTATGGTGAGATCCATTGGTTTATCTATTTGTAACATCTGTTGAACTGATGGAAAATTGTGCACGCAAGCATTAATAGTTTTGAGGCCGATTTCTTTATTACTGTGAGGTTTAACCATTTTAGATGGTGATCAGTGTTATGTCAGAGTACACCTGCACTTACACACACACAGAGAGTGTACTTCATTAGAGATCATGACCACTGGAGAGGCTTGCATAACTAAAGGTAACCACCTGCTTTTATCAAAATGGAAATGGAGACGCTTGCATACCATGCATATAGGTGACAGTAAACAAACTTGAGTTTATTTCAAGAGCTTAGCGTAACGCTCTCCTTCAGCTGATATACATGTTCATTCTGTTTACTGTTAAACATCCAAACCATCACAATGGCTTCACAATTTTGTCCACGCACATCTGTCTCTCACACACTCACTCACTCATATAGCGCTCTGAAAAACAAAACATCTGAACAGTAAGAATATTGAAACTAAGTGGAATGAAAACAAATAAAAACAAAAACCAATGCAAAGAACAATGTCTTTGTCTTCTTTGACTCAGCCATCTGGGTGTCCATCTGCCTCTTCCACCACTTCAGCATGTTTAAGCTGAAAATCAAAGCAACATGTACATTTATGCACATTACCAGGACTCGTGTCATTTAATTGGCTGGGAGATCAGATCATACAGAGTTTCATGACTGGACTGAAAATCATGGATTGCACACCACATGTCACTTACCTGTACTTGTTTTAATTCTATCCTACAATCCTTAACAGAATTCAATAAAGAAAAGTAGATGGCCAATCAAATCAAAGTGGGCGGGGTTTACTGTTCACAGAAGCAGAGTGCGAATTAACGTTGAAAGAGAGTGAGTTGAGATGCAAGTTGCAAATAATTTAATATTAGTCAACTGTTTTACGACAGAAATATTCAATGACCTACAGCTATATCCAGTGATGCAAACTGCGCCACTTTTTTCTCAAATATGGCCATTTTGAGAGAGAGAGAGAGTGATGAATGTTTAGTGTGTGAAATATCTGCGTCGGTGTCTGTCTCTGCAAACAATGAAGCTGTAAGTTTAGTTGCTTCAAAAACAGTGATTTTACCTCCTCGTTAATGAGAAATATAATGTGATTCAGTACTGAAGCTATTTTTTAATAAATGTCAAAACACGTTTCTGTGCTCCTGAACGAGTCTCCTATCTTGAGAAATTGTTATAATGCACACCTGCAATAAATATATGTATAGAGGGCTCGAATTGAGATGGGGATGGCATTCCCCAAATTGAAAAAAAATGGCAAAAAGCATCCCCTCTGCTAAACCACCGACCCCTTTAGATTATTAATGTTGTGTATTATGTGACGCTTATCATGCAAATGAAATGTTACAATTCTCTATGTATGATAATTACGAATTAAATAACCGCGATTGGCCAATCAGAGCTCGGTACCGTAACGAGCTGCGCACAAGCTCAAACAAGTTTTTGTCATTTTTCACGCAAAATGGTTCAAGCGCAACTTTTGAAGTTCTTAAAAAAAAAGAGGACAACAGATGATTTTTCCTTGATTAGAATTTAAAGACGTTCCCCTGTCATAAAGTTACTGTGCAGTATGTGTGACTGAGAGACGATAGCAGAGCTGACATTATCGAGTATGTCACGACAAACAAAAACTCATCTAGAGAGTCCAAAAGCATTCACTGCGTGATGAAGCCTATTAGAAAGCAGTTAGAATTCCCTTATAATACAAGCAATGAAAGATAAAATACCCATGTATGAGTTTTTATATTTATCAATGTACGGTAACACTTTACAATAAGGTTCATTAGTTAACTACTTTAGTTAACATGAACTAAGCATGAACAACACTTCTACAGCATTTATTAATCTTAATGTTCATTTCAACATTTACTAATGCATTATTAAAATCAAAAAGTTGTGCTTGTTAACATTAGTGAATGCACTGTGGATTAACATGAACTAGGAATGAACGACTGTATTTTCATTAACTAACATTAACAAAGGTTAATAAATACTGTAATACATGTATTGTTCATGATGGTTAATACATTAAGTAACATTAACTAATGGAACCTTATTGTAAAGTGTTACCAAATGTACTTTCCTGAATATCAGCATGTGTGTGCGAGCACAAATGTGATAATTTTATACAACAGTCTCTCTCTCTCTCTCTCTCAGAGAGATATTATATTATGTCTAATATTATGTAATAGTAGTCCCTTTGGAATTAGCTGGTTTTCTGCATGATTTGGTCAAGTCTTTGTATAAAAAGATCTATTAACTATATAATATAATCTATTAAATTGTTGATCTATTAACACTTTTTTCCCCCCATATGCAAGTCTGAAGTCCAAAATGGTGGTGCCTTATCACAAATGTGATAATTTTATACAACAGTCTCTCTCTCTCTCTCTCTCAGAGAGAGAGAGAGAGAGAGAGAGAGAGAGAGAGAGAGAGAGAGAGAGAGAGAGAGAGAGAGAGAGAGAGAGAGAGAGTAAAATGGGCTGAGAGTTTAATGCAGAAAATTGCTGATGGAGATTCATATCTTTTATCATCTCTGTTCTAACTCTATTGCAGTCACCTTGAGGTTGTTGTAGTGTTCAAGGCTGCGGCAGTGCTCTGATTTTGCTCTTTTCTCGTCAGTGTAGAACATGTTACACAGCTTGCAGAAGAAACCAGTTACTGGGATGACGTAGTTCACACCTGAAATAAGAGAAGTGTTTCCTGAGACAAGATTTACAGTTTTTTCCTCAATTGCTTAGACACTAAAAATCACAATACATTGGCATAAACATTTTAAACCACCAGAAAAAATGACTAAAACACTACAAGTGTTTTCACACAGGTTGTAAATATGCTGAACCTTATTTGCATCTAAAAAAACTAAAACTCATTGGGAATGAAAACATTTTTGAAACTTTAGGAATTGGCCTTAAAGGCCTTAAAGTTCAAGTGAACAGCATTCTTTGCTCATTTTGGTTGTTTATGAAGCTATGCCAGAGATGCAAGCTTTCCTAAAATGCACAAAGCGTATGGGAAATATGTAAGATATGACATTCATTTTTGTGTTAAATGCATCTGAAGTAAAATTTTGAATAGTCAAGTAATTATAGACAATTAATTGCGAGCACAAATCCCAATCTTTCAGACTATTATTGTTTTTACTGCAATAGTACTTTTATTTTGGCAATGAAGCTCTAGTGGTTATAATAATGCAATGACCAAGTGTGTATAATAATACAAGCAAGTGTGTGATGGACTTACCCACAATCTGGTCTGGCTGATAAGGGCTCAGAGGGGTTTTCTCCAGCTGACTATCGTCTTCTGAACCTTTACTTTCACAAACCGGACCCCCGCCGACACCGACACAAGAACTCTGCTGGTTCTGCAAACACACATGATTTTTACTGACAGAGATAGCATATATGCCGGACACTTGGCTACTGTTCTTTTCCCTCAACTCAACCATTTAAAAATGCGAATCAAATTTTAGTCTTGCATTTAAGCAGGACACTTTCTATTAAGATCATGAGAACAGGTTTAGTCAAATGTGATGTTTTAGGTTCACTCTTGATTACCCGGTCATTTTCTGTCCTTGGTTTAATTTCTTTTGTGTCCTTTTTTGACTCTCTCTCTTCTGCCTTTTCAGGGTATCTCCTATGACAAAAAAAAGCAAAACCGAAGATGTCACTATAGACACTCATGCAAAACAAGCATATCAAAAACCTTCTCTGCACTGGATGGAGTTTACAATTTTATGTTTATGTTTGGCTAAAGTCATTTTTTTTTATTTTCAAGGTAGTCAGTTACACGGAATGTTAATACACACCTGCAATCATTCATATTATTGATATATTTTTTTTAATAGTAGCTTGACTTGGAGTATATTTTTCCACCTCTATCTGACTGCAAGTCACTTAATGTCAGTGGCATTTATTAACACAAAGATAACACAAGCAGATATTTCAAACAAAATGCATCAAATATATTTAATTAGGTTCAAAATAAAACAACAAAACTAAAAATAAGACAAATATAAGGATATATCCACAGTTAAAGAAATAGTTCACCCAAAAATTTAAAATTTGCTGAACATTTACTCGCCCTCATGCCATAGAAAGTGTATATAAGTTTGTTTCTTCACGGGAACAGATTTGTAGAAATGTAGCATTGCATCAGTGTCTCAGCAATGGATGCTCTGAATGGGTGCCGTCAGAATGAGAGTCCAAACAGCTGATAAAAACATCACAATAATCCACAGCACTCCAGTCCATCAGATAACATCTGGAGAAGACAAAAGCTGAGACAAATCCAGCATTAAGACGTTTTTAACTTATCTATAGCTTTCTCCAGCTCAAAAGTTGCTCATCATAAAAAAAAAAAACATTTTTGAGAATTGTTAAAAACGGAGTTATCCGTTTTTGCAAATGAACTCTTCATTTGATGTTGTGGTGTACATAGACTCTCGAGACCCTCACAGAACCTCTCGTTCTTTTCAGAAACATAATAATTGCAACACCGTAAATGATGTAGTGTATAGGCCTATACATTCCTTTTTTATGTATATAGTTTATTCTTTTTTCTCCGTTCACAGAAGTGCTGCAGGTGCGTGATGTGAATCCAGAGTTCGACACACTATCCTGCAATTTACGCTGGTTTCAAAACACTCAACAAGCTGCATATCCCTGCCATTCATTTTCACTTAAATATAGGCCTAATGCTTGACGGTTCGTGACATATCCTTGGAAAAACTCTTTTAACGCCGGGGCACTTTATGATGCATTTACAGCTGAGCGCAGGTGTTTCACTCGTTGGATGCGTCAGTGTCACATTTGCATAGGCTGTGTACTATTTCAATTCGTGATTGGTTGAGTGCAAAATTTAAATACTAAACGGAACGATAAAATAAGGTTATTAACCAGTTAATGGCCATTTCAAATTGTTCGGAACTATTTTGTTTCTGGTTATGTTCCTGTCAAAATTTCGTTCGTTTCCAGTTTTTGTTTTCGTTCACTGAACCGGTTCAGAGCCCTGGCTTTAATGTCGTGTCTGATTGGTGAACACTTCCCACGGCCCTAGTTTGTACATTAAAAGAGAGTGCAATCAATCAATACAGCACTGTCTCTTGAGTTTCTTCAAGATGGTAATCCTCACCTTACAGTCAGAGAACTTTGACTGCAACACCTCACCAAACATGCCTGCAAGCTCCAGCACTTCAGCCTCGACGCCCTCCCCGGGAGGCAAACGGCAAAAACAAACCACCGAAGGCACATTCGAACGCTTTGTTCGCTTCGGTGAAGGCGCATCAAACTTGGGTGGGGTCTGTCAATCAAATATATGCAAACAAAACGTAACCGTCAAGGGAATCCGTGATAAATGGATAGATTGTTAAAGCAAGTATAGAGGGTGTGATTTGTGGGGTTCCTACTCACATAAATGCCTTCCACTGTTGGTGATAAGTAGAGGAATACTGTGTTCTCCTTTATAAAGGCTGGTTTCAATTGGAAGTGATTGACCATATTCTGAGCCTCCTTGTGAGCACTAAACTCCAGAAATCCCTGTTACCATGCAAAAAAAATGTATGCACCTTTAACACCCATTAAAAAATAATAAACAAATGAAAAACAATGAGAGGGTTTTTAAGACCCGTTTCACATATACTAGGTGCGTATGAGTGTGACCTGAATGTGAATGGGTGCCGTCAGAATGAGAGTCCAAACAGCTGATAAAAACATCACAATAATCCACAACACAGCTTCAGTACATCAATTAACATCTGGAGAAGACAAAAGCTGCGTGTTTGTTAGAGACAAATCCTTCAAGATGTTAAAAATACAAGTCCTATATCCATAATATTGCTTGTCTGAATCAGGAGAGAAATCTGCACAGATCAAGCACCGCTTACAAGCCAAAACCGCTCTCTAAACAAATATGTGGGTGGATTTTGATGTGAGAGACCACAGGAGATGCACTTTTTCACTGAAGTGTTATTACAGACTCGTATTTTAGCCGGAAGCAACGGTTTGACGTTAAAAAAAAAATGCATGAACGTTGAATATGTTTCCCTCAAACTTCTCCAGATGTTAACTGATGGACTGGAGTGCTGTGGATTATCGTGATGTTTTTATCAGCTGTTTGGACTCTCATTCTGACGGCACCCATTCACTGCAGAGCATCCATTGCTGAGACACTGATGCAATGCTGCATTTCTCCAAACCTGATGAAGAAACAAACTCAACTAAGAAACTCCTCTACTGTAAATTTAGAGAATTTTCTGCATTTTCAATTTTGGAGTGAGCTATTCCTTTAATTTCACTTCATTATAGCGCTATCTGCTAAACTTCACCTTTCACATCCCATAGAATAAAGTCGGTCATGCAGGTTTGGAACAATGTGAGTGCAAGTTAAATATTTTTCAATTCTGATGAACTAACCCTTTAAATACCACTGCAGTAAAATCCTGTTAAAGAAGTCATCAGTAAGGAGTTATATTGTTACAAGATACTGGGCAAAGCAAAGTTCAACGCAAGCTGTCATAAAACTACAAACCGGTCCATAATTGTGTATAAATATAGAAAGCCTTTAATTACCTTTGCTGGGAACACCAGGTGTTTCACAATTGTGCCGAATGGTTTGCCAAGCTCTAAAAGCTCCCCCACGGCCACAGCACCCATAGGAAACTTGGCAACTACCACTCTTGTATTGGGCTGAGGATGATATATAGCCACGTGACAAAAAGCGGACATTTCAATTTGAGTGCATAAATAATAGAAATTAAAATAAAGGAGCAGCACATCAATTAAATTACCTTAGGAGGGTAGAGGTGTTCTGATGAGGTGGACATGTACTGATCCCCTTAAAGAAAAAGACAAATGTTAAATTGATACATTTTGTGCAATTTTGTCGTTATAAAAATGTATACAGTATCTTATACAAGTTAAGCAAATTTAAAATTGCATTGGCTTGATGAGACGTGTGCATATATACTTTCTGTTTACACATGAAGTTAGAGAAGAGTACACTAAAGGGCTTGGTATTTTATACAGCCAATAGGGTTTAGCTTATGTCACAATCATGAGAGCGTTTAAATGGACATAAATGAGCCCATGCAGAGGCATTTACAAGATCGATATTTTTGGTTCATCTCTTCTGTGAGCACTTAACTGCATCTAAATAAATAAATACATAAAAATAAATATCTATGCGTTTACCTTCCCTTAGTCCCTCCCTGTTCCAGCTTGTACTATTCTAAACGATCACTTTAGGATGAATCACGTGTTGCATTCCTCATTTCTAAGTCACTTTGGAGAAAAGGGTCTGCTAAATTAATAAATGTGGTTCAATTTCCAGAAAAAAAAAAAAAAGTATATTTGCTATCATTTGCTGCATTTGTCAACTTTTAGGAGAACATTAGCTTGCAAATGATCTCAAAGTTAACAGGCATTAACTAATAGGTCTTTACATTTTAAATTTGATATGTGACTAGAGCTGCACAATTAATCGAATTTCTAATCGCAATTACAATTACGGATGCCACAGTTAATCATTGAAAGTCCACTTATGTTATTCTGCATGCTTAAGATGTGTTTTTTTCTTTCTACAGCTTATCTTAAGGGTTTTTCCATTGTTTTAATTTGAGCATAACGTTATAATACCATGCATATTTTTACTTTTTTTTTATTTAAAGAAGAGACCAATCCAGTGTATAGTTCAGATTTGAGGCTTAATGCTATAGAAAAGCAATAAAAAAAAAAAAAGGTTTTCAGTTAGAGTGTTTTCAGTAAGGCATGCAGTTGCTTCAAACACTGGTATAAACATCATGCAATGTAACTTGTGATAATCACAATCAATAATTGCAATTGTGCAAAAAAATTTGCAATGGTTTTTGTCACAATCGTACAGCCCTAAATGTGACAAAAAAAAACCCGAATCTTTGTAGTAGCAGCATTATCAAATATAGATGCAATGCGCAATTCTTCTAGAAGTGAAACTCTTTACCTATGGCGGGTTCAGAGCTGTAGGCTCTTTTAGGGGGTTGAAATGAGCGAGAGCTTCGTTCGGATTCATGTAATTTGTGTCGGACACCTGACAGATGGTCTCTCCATGTCTGGCAGTCAAGAAAACAGAACATAAGCACTTAAGATGATTATGATACGACAGATTATAATAAACACACTCCTCCAGAAAAAATAAATACATGCATGCATGCATAAAATACTAGCCACCAGAGGTGGACAGAATCTCCAAAATCGGTATGAGTATAATATATTTCTTAAAATTATAATTGGATGAGTCATGTCTGAAGTCTTGAAATATCCAATATACATATTCAATAGGGCTGGGTAAAAAAAATATCGATATCTCGATATTAATCGATTCTCATTTTTATGGAACGATATCGATTCTCAAATCCCAAGAATCGATTAGTCTAGCCTGTTTTCAGTTAATGGACAGAACATTGAAGGGTACCTCCCATCCAATAAATCGCAATAAGCATTGTGCTTTGGTACATTTAATATGAAACAGTCTCAGATTTCAAGTTATTTTCATTGTATTGCAGTATTCAAACAATAAATGCTGTTTTGGCGCTGTTTAATGTGGAGTGACAGATCGCTGTAGCGCCTCAGTGAACTGATCATCTCCTCCGCTTTATTACTAGTTATAGCACAAAATAAACATGACTAAACATCCGAAGGCAAGTTAAAAGAAAGAGTACAACTTTACAATCTGTACCCTGTCTCATGTAATCTCTCAATCAGTGTTTCAGCTGCGCAAAGACATCAATATAACGGCTTGTAAACAATGTAACGTCACATTTACCTCAGAAAAACATATTCGGTGACCATAAACTCACTAGTCAGATAGAAAAATAAACTGTAGTGAGGGGCATTTTGGTAAATATATGCACCAAATAACATATTCATTATACATTTTACTGTTCTTCAATGTTTAATTTATGTTTGAATAAATCCATCAAAGACAGCCACCATTGTTTATATTTCAAACAAATTAATTGAAGTAGAAATATTATGTAATTGTAACTTTATCAAAGTTTTTCAATATTATAGTAATGTAGTACCAACTGATTAGTTGAGAGATTTTTTTTCCTTGAGAAAATTTGGCATGTACTGTACCTGATATATATCCAAAATAATCGATACTGAATCGAATCGGTAATCGAATCGCAAGCTTGTGAATGAGAATCGAATCGTGACATTTGCGTCAAAAACCAGCCCTAATATTCAATAAATCTATGAGGGAACAGTAATGAAACTCCACTTCACATTGTCTGCGTCTTGTCGAGTCTGGCTATTGTTGCATTCCCTCACTTCCCACTGTAAAGCAGTATGGATATATTTTCCCATAAATGTAAAATCTTTTGAACCATTGGTCACATCAGCCCTAATACTTGACCCTGGACCACAAAACCAGTCATAAGTGTCAATTTCTCAAAATTGAGATTTATGCATCTTATGCTGAAAGCTGAATAAATAATTATTCAAGCGTTCCATTGATGTAAGGTTTGTTAGGATAGGACAATATTTAGCAGAGATGCAACTATTTGAAAATCTGGAATCTGTGAGTGCAAAAAAAAATCTAAATATTGAGAAAATCATCTTTAAAGTTGCCCAAATGAAGTTCTTAGCAATGCATATTACTAATCAAACATTAAGTTTTAATATATTTACGGTAGGAAATTTACAAAATATCTTCATGGAACATGATCTTTACTTAATATCCTAATGATTTTTGGCATAAAAGAGAAATGTATAATTGTGACCCATACAATGTATTGTTGGCTATTGCTACAAATATCCCCCAGCGACTCAACACTGCTTTTGTGCTGCACGGTCACATATAGTTAATCATTTCTAGGCATTTTTTATCTAATTTAATAGTTTTGTCTTATCATGGCACTCAATGCATCACATATCTTTTTACCTTTATGGAATTCAGCATACACTTGCAAAGAGGGCATTTGTGTGGGAAAACGGTCGGGTTGTCGCTTGACTCCGTCTCCACAGCCACATGATCCCCACTTTGTCTTTCTCGGGATGACTTCCTGTGAGCCGGGTCTCTTCTTCCTCCCGCGTACCTCTCAAACTTCCTGTGCCCCTCCCCTTTCCCGTGATGCTCGTGGCTCCCGGAGCGCCGCGCTGAGCTGGAAGACTCGGGGCTTCTGCGTCTGTCGCTGGTGCATCTCTCGGGTGTACTCCGCTTGTCCTGTGAAAGCCTGGACTTGTCTCTGCAGTCGGTGTCTGCGGTAGCTGACTCTTTAAGGGCTCTCTTGGCTTTGAGCTGCATGATTAGATGAGGGAGGGTCTCCACGCTGATTTCGCTTTCGGGAATCTGTGCGAGTGCATCCACATCTTCGGATGACAGGCCGAGCGTGGCATACAGGCTCTGCACACTAATAGTCTCGGCTTCACCCGTGTCTTCACCGGCTCCACCGTCAAACGCGTCCATCGCCAACCTTTACAGACAGTAAAGAGAGTCTGAGATTATATAACGTGGAGTTTTTTTCTTGACAACATGACAACAAACCACAAGAAAGCAAGAGAAAGAACTTAAGACATTGATTTACACATTAAAAATGTTGCATCCTGTAACATTTCACAGAGAGAGCGCACTTTCATGACTGTTAACACACTTTTAAAATTACAATTTTAAAAATACAGTTTTAAAAAGTGCACTTTGTACTAATGTTATTTTAAAGGACATTTTAAGTCATGCGACCCTGGAGCACAAAACCAGTCATAAGGGTCAAATTTTCGAAATTGAGATGTATGCATCATCTGAAAGCTGAATAAATAGCTTTCCATTGATGTATGGTTTGTTAGGATCGGACAATATTTGGCTGAGATACAAATATTTGAAAATCTGGAATCTGAGGGTGCAAAAAAATCGAAATATTGAGAAAATCATCTTTAAAGTTGTCCAAATGAAGTTCTTAGCAATGCATATTACTAATCACACATTAAGTTTTGATATATTTACAGTAGGAAATCTACAAAATATCTTCATGGAACATGATCTTTACTTAATATCCTAATGATTTTTGGCATAAAAGAGAAATGTATAATTGTGACCCATACAATGTATTGTTGGCTATTGCTACAAATATACCCCAGCAATTATATACATATTTTAAATGTACTAAATTACAGCATCATTTCAAATGTGTAATTATAAAACTATTTAAAAACGTATGAGTTTCAATAGAAATGACATTGAAGTATATTTTAGTTTACCATAAATGCTTGTCAGTATATTCGGCAGTGCACTGTAACATATTTCAAAGACAATAGAAATAATTATGAATAATAAAATATAAATCCTACTTAAGTTACTCAAAAAAGCACTCTAAAGTTAAGCTGACAGCAAAATTTTAATTATAAGGCATCTTCATTAATTGCATTTAACATGCGAACTAAATGTAATTTTTAACAATTAAATGCAAATACGTATATTCTTTGAAGGTATATCATGTCCGTATTAAGCATCTTTAAAAGTATGCTTAAGTGTTCCTCTTTTTAACTGCAGGGGTCAACTCTATGACACACTTTCATTTTTCTTTCTTTCTGCATATTTCTTCATGTTTCGGTGGACATGTGTAACGCCAAACTCCTTACGGTTTTCAAGAATTTCATTCTCTTAATGAGAATTCTTTCATCATCATGATATCAGAACAGTTGTGTCACCCTGGCATAAAACACACACAATGAAATTCATTTTAATTCAGAGATTAGAATGATGTTCATGAGGTGTATTCGCTCTATGTATAAATTGCATTTTAATGTAGCTTAATAAATGCATTATTAACTATCTACTCAGCCTCCTTCTGTCTCCTCCCATCCTTTTTATCATTCCCCACACTTCTCCCACTGGTGTGGTTCTTCCTATTTTGTCACAAAATTTCCTCCAGCTGGTCCTCTTTACTTGGCGAACTGTTCTTCTAACTACTGCTTGAGCCTTCTTATACTGAATCAGTATTGAGTTGATCTAGTCTAGTGTTATTTCTGTAGTTGATTAGCATTCTTGTCTGCAAGATGAATTTCTCTACAGATGTGGATTATTTGTCTAGTCCTGTTCTTTGTCTGTCAGTATATCTAGTCCAGATGAATCCCCCTCCCTGTTCTCATGCTCCTGGTTATCTCTGCCATTGCCTCTCTTGCCAATAAAAGGCAGTTATGTCAAATTAAAGGTACACTCAGTTACATTTTCCACAGTTAAAAGTATTTATTCCTAAGGAAATTAATAGCACATGCTATATCATATTACATATGTGTATATATATTGATTTTACTCAACATTGAATGGCATATTGAAAAATAATTTTATTTTGAACATCGTTCAACATGCTCAATGATGAGTACACTCAGATGAGATAAATAAGTCATAACAGAGGCCTGGAAAAAGCTTTTATGCTACACAAGACCGCCCACAGTAGAGCCATATGAAGACATTTCTCTAGTGTTTTTCAGTATTTCATTGTGTTTACACAGCTTCTTCAAGCTCAACTGAAAGAACACACACACAAATTCAGAGTCATTTCTTTACAGAACAAAAATTTGTTTTCACAAAGCATAATAACTAACTATACATAATGTGGTGTTGTGAGATGATATTTGCTAGCTAAGGCCATTTCTATACATTTTTGCATTGAACATTTACATTTTGAACACAACAGTGGTGGCAAAGAAAGAGAACTGTCATGGGTTGATACATAGTTGTACCAGGTTTTCAGTGTTATGCTTTACGATTAGTAACAATAACAATAAATATATCATAAAATAATAACAATTTAAAGGGGTCATGAACTGAGAAATCAAAATGCCCTTGATCTTGTGACATATAAGAGGTCATTGTATAAAATCATCCTGTAAGTTTCAGAACTCAAAACGTTCTCGTTAGTCTAAAAACAGCTTATACTGAAGCCAATCTGCCAAAACGACAATCTGCCAAAACGACAATCTGCCAAAACGACAATCTGCCAAAAGTTGAGGAATGTGACATTTTATGACATAAGTGTCTAAACTCCGCCTCCGCAGAAGATCAACGCTTGCTTATACAGTACTGCCTGTTTAGCCACGCCCACCGATTCTACAGCACTGCCTGTTTAGCCACGCCCACCGATTCTACAGCACTGCCTGTTTAGCCACGCCCACCGATTCTACATCACTAGGTGCGTTCGACTTCATGCAGCACTACGCAGATCGATCGCAAACTGACTTGAAGCAGTGCATGCCAGTTAGTAATTTTGTCCGACTTGAGAGTGTGGCATCAAAGCACCGCGAGAGCGTTTCGAGAGTTTTCTGACTCAGCCGGCGCAGTTTCTCCAGAGTGGCTGCAGGAGCGTTGATGACGACACAGCCATTTCACAATTGGCCAGATTCACCGCATGACAACTATCACGTGTGTTTTGGGTTTATTCTAACCTTTTCAATTCCAATAATAGCCACAAATCTGTGTTTTTAGAACAGTAAAAGCTTTTTTACTGTAGTCACAATGATATATTGAGTCACGTTTACCATACAACACTGATGAAAGCATATATTCCTCCACTTTATTAGTATTTAAATAGTATATATTTACGTTGAACTTTATTCTTGGACAGATGGCGATGTATTAAGTCGTATATAATCAGTATGTATCTGTTTCTCATGAAAATGTTTCTGAAATGTCTGTATATTTGACAAATATTGCATTTAATTCACTTCATCTGTGATAGAGTAGTGGCAGAAAGTGTCCGGCTTGACGGCTCCGTTTTCAACTCCACCCCCGACTGCAAGCGGCTACTCTCGTTGATCGCCGTCTGTAGCCGTGCTTCAAGTCGAACGCACCTACTGTCTGTTTAGCTCCGCCCACCGATTCTACTTCACTCTTATTTAGCTCCGCCCACCGATTCTACAGCACTGCCTGTTTAGCCACACCCACCGATTCTACTTCAGTCTCTTTAGCCTCGCACACCGAGTC